TAATCATCGTGTTTTCGACCTAATGTACCAGTCAATTCTAAAGGTGCCCAGCTCCCCTCCGGGCATACCTCGGGCATTTGACAAATTATTTTTCCGAGTAGTGGGGAATTTGACAACTGGAATCTGACGACTGGACAGGCGGGCATATTTTGACGATTCTAAACCATGATAAAAGATATTATTCTTACCTTATTTTTAGTAGTATCCGTCATCGCCATGATTCTGAAAACGATACCAAACGATTGCCGCTGACCGATGAAGTCGCAGTCGCATCATGCTGCATCTCACATGTCGCACCTCACATGTCACATGTCACATCTTACATGTCACATCTTACATGTCGCATCTCGCATGTCGCATCTCGCATGTCGCATGTCGCATCTCACATGTCGCATTTCACATGTCACATCTTACATGTCGCATCTCACATGTCACATCTCGCATCTCGCATCTCGCATCTCACATGTCGCATCTCACATGTCCCTTGTGTGTCCCTTGCCACCGTAGAAATCTCTTGGGTCCACATTTTTCTAAAGATATATTTGTAAACCCAAGAAAATAACTATTTTTTCCTAATCTTTCATAATTGTGTTTGATTGATTTGATCAACAATTGAAACCATATAAACTGTTTTCTTATCCAGTCTTCTATATAGCGTTACTCACAGTAAGGTTTTTTCAAACAGATCGTGTGACCAGACAGACTGTCGTGACAGCCAGTCACGCGATGTCACGCGATGGCATTAAAAAGCGAAAGTGCTGATCAAATTTCATGAAATGCATGCGGTTTATTGTGGTGTTACAAATCATATGACATCGTTTACTTCTATTTTTAGTGATATCAATGATGGTTTAATGATATTCGCACTGTATCTCGACAGAATTTAAAATGAAACCTCTAGGGCCCCTCGAATGTAGCTTGCAATTTAAAGATTTATAGCAGGCCTGCTACTGATAGAGATAACTTCTCATTTTGCTTTCCATAAGTCTATCAAATCATATTAAGAATATAGAATCATATAAAAGTATTTCAAGGAACCTAGAATGATCATCAATCGCCCCATGTAAGAGAATCCAGAGAACTAGGGGATTCCGGATTCCAAGCGCTGGATTCCGGATTCCGAAAMATTGGATTCCGGATTYYAAGCCTTGGGATTCCGGATTCCAAAGAATTTTTGTTTTAGATTCTGTATAATAAATGGCCTGATTTTCAAGGTTTTTTTTTCCTGAAAATTTTATATTCAGCGTGTCAGTACCCTGCGCAGGGGCGTCAGCGGGACGATGTCCTATGTGTTTTTTAGATATCAAAATTTTTGCTGGATTCCAGATTATGGATTCCAAATATTTGGATTCCGGATTCCAGGATAGGGATTCCGGATTCCAAAGCTGTTTTTTTAGTGGATTCCGGATTCCGGATTCTCTTACACGGGGCGACATCAATCCCATGTAATGGCTTCCGGTTTGTCTGTCGCCTCAGTAGTAACCCACTTACAGTTGGAAACTCACTTTTCACAAATTAAAGAGATTCCTTAGTAAAAGTATGTACTGTTCAACTTACCAATCTGCTGTTGATCGCTTCATTTAAGAAAACAGTCCTCTGATCTAGAGGAATCGATCTGAGTTGAAGCCAAATAGTGCAATGGTAATTTCCCCGAATTCTAACAGGAAGCGTGAAGTCGAGGCTAAGTTATTAATAGGTATGAATCATTTCTTACTCTATGACCACAGGAAGCCCGTACAAGCTCAAGAATAAACCATTGACCGCAGATGGAAGCAAGAGGTTCAGTGCAGAATCTCAGTAGGAAACAACGGTAATTGTAGTCTGATTTTCAGAGGGTGAGGTCTGTGTTTCCTAAAACCAGGAATAGGGCCATGCCATAGTCTGGACAACTTTTTCTTGAGAATAGAAAATAAAAGAATTTCTTTTTTTGTTCATTTTTCAATGAGTTTAGTAAATAAATATTACGGAAAGCTTATCCTCTCCATTATCCATGATGATCCGAAGGAAAAATTATGTAGACAATATGTTGACGGGATTCCTGTGGAATCATTTCCAAGATGGCGGCTGAGGCAAGACGAGAAGCTCGCCGAAAGAGAATATTACAAAACTCCGATTCTCGCCTTAAAAGAATCTTAGATAGCAAATCATCTGAAGCAGTTATTGATGATGAGTCTACAGGTTTGTTATCTGGCTCATC